GAGTCCCATCACCATCTTATGGCGGTTGAGCAGATTGTGCCCAGTTAGGACTCCAACCAGTGTACTTAAAGTATTCCTTGTCAAGGCAAGAACGGATTTTCCAAATCCATGATTTGGGCCGTCATAGGCTATTAAGTCAGAAACAAGGCTCAGATTTCCCATCTTTTCATCAGCCTTGAACGCAGCGTTACACATGTGACTCTGCAGAGGTAAGAAAGTCTAAAAAGTCACATTCACAGGCAAGCAAATTTGTGTGTGTGTGCAAATCTTGTTGTGTGTGCTCAAAGTTTTTTGAGACTAATTTATCTCCATAAGAAAGTGGTACAGTCTCTCAGCTTGGTGTTGCTGCACCGAACAACATGTAAACACGAGTTCCACCTGAATTAAAATTAAACTAGCAGCAACGACCCTGCACCTGCTGAAGAGGTTGCATCCCACAGTTTGAGGAAGTTGCCATGTCCGGTAGACGATAAAAGTGTGCGACTTACTCAACAGACACCACAACTGTGTTGAGCTCATCAGAAACCATGCGGTTCACAGCATCCCAGGATCCTTTCTCTGAAGGAAAACAGTGTTAAATGAGATGTGTCTGAGTTTACAGTCTAAAGTCAAAGGCGTCACGCTTCGTACTCACTGGCACTGCCGAGGGCCCAGCCCCCTCCGTGCAGATACACCAACCCCCTCCTCAGGTGGCCCTCCCCTCCGGCCGGCGGCTCGTAAACTCTCACCGGAATGCCGGCGAAGGAGACGTCACTAACCTTCACCCCGGGGATGACCCCCCCGCTGGACTCTTTACGGTGCTCTCAAAGCCGTCTATGCTCCGTTGGATGGATGTGGCGGAATGATCGAGGCCGAGCCAGTGCTTCAAAGAGGCCTGAGGGCAGAGGATGGAGAGGACATGAAACAAAACGGAGTCTCCATCAGATTTCCTGTGAAGAAATCAATTTTAAAAAGGCAGAGCAGGCAGAATAATAAGATCAGGGGGTAAAATAAAACTTTCCTGGCAGGGTTTTGACATCTCCCTGAGTCACCAAATCACTCTGGTATGAGACAAATTCTTTTCCCCCCACTTTTTTTTCCAAATGTAAAAATTCACATTTTACGTTTTAGTAAGGAAAATAAATGTTCTTTAACAAAAAAGGAGCATTTGGAAGCAGTGACCCMACATCAACAGGCAGTTGAGGACTTGTGTTTTACATTTGTGATCATGGTGCTCATGCAGTTGTGTTCTTTAAAACCTGAACAGATTGCATCACATACTCATGGTGCCGCCTTTATTGTGAAATCCTAACTCTACCAAGGCACATCAGAAAAGTGGACAAACTTTAACACCATTAGCTACGAGCAGAATCAAAGTCCACGTTTAGCACGCTCTTTGTGTTAGGATTACACAACACTTTCAGCGAACATAAATTGTCTCTAAGAAATAAAAACATGTGAAAGGTCATATCTCAYGCYGCCTTTCATGCCAAAGTTTTATACAGAAATCACCTGAAAATTATAAACAATATAGTTGTAAACAATTTGCAGCTATTTGGTCAAACTTTATGATTCTCATGGAATACTGCAACATGCCAAACTCAACAGTCAAATTATAGCTTATATGTAAAGCTGACTGAGTTATAGCCATTTTTGTGTTGCCTAATTTTCATTAGCTGTGGTGAACATCTTGAATTGGATTGACTCCAAAAGTGAATCAGTTGTAGATGTACATCCAAARATTACTTTCTGAAAGTTTCATTAAAATCCCCCCCGTGGTTTATGGAACACTTTGCTAACAGAYAAACAGGGTTGACGCCATCAGTTGATGATTAATTTAAAGCAAAGATCTTGCACATTGAGCAACACTTGAGTTACATRGTTTGAACAACTCTCAGCTACTACCACACAAAATGTTAGCTCAATATCTGTAAATCCTTATTACCTACAGCCATTTGTGTRTTTTTTAGAGTCAGTTAGCTGTGGCAGCYAGCTTGAATCAGGCTGTCTTCAAAAGTTAATCAGTTATAGTCGTGCATTTAATGATTACTTTCTGCAAGTTTCAATTCAATGAGTGCAGCAGTTCGTGACRTATTTTGCTAACAGACAGGCGCACAACCAGATGTGCAAAAATATACTCATGCGATAATGTGCAAACTRAACGGTTGTGTGTGCAAAAGAGTGCCAGACATTTTTCTGTTTGAAGCAGACAGACCGTGCACCTGTCGTTTCTTACCAGGTGCATGATCGTCCTGAAGCCAGCATCCACGGCCAGCAGCTTCCAGGGCTCCTGGATGGCGTCAGGCAGCGGGGTGTACAGGTAATACCCGACTGCGGCCGTCAGCAGCGCGGTCACCAGCAGCGCCCTCACACCCATCTTTACATCTATATTTCCTCCTTCAGCWGCTGACACTTCCCAGTCTGACGATCCAGCTGCTGCTTTGAACCGGGCCGCATTCAGCCAAGCACTTCCGCTGAAAACCTTCAAAATAAAAAAAAACTTTACTTTAGCTTCACTTCATTCAAGTGAATTATATGAGCTCTAATGTTATATAGGTTTATAATAAATAAACATGTTTTTTATCTACTTATATTTCTGCCCAGCATATTATGAAGACTTTGTCGACATGATCRAAGCTTTTATTTTGAAGGCAGAACAAGTTTGTATCTTGGGAAGAAGTGCAACTGTAATACAAAGAAGTGACCACGCGATGGCAGTGTTAARCTGCAGACCGAACAGAGCAGGAATTGATTGTTGATTTATTTCAGCAGTAATCACAGGTGTCTTTTATAAATTTGTTACTCACCATGTAGGAGAGCAATGCTTGGAAAGCAAACACTGTTCAAAACAAATCACTCACTCCGAGGCGTCGGCTGTCTCACATTAAACAGTTTTTAATTTATTTACAAACGTGTTTATCCATCAGATAAATTATGCCAAAAATATGCTATTACAAGGCATTTTGATTCAGTTTCTTGCAGTTTTATATAGTTATTTAAGCTAAAATATTCAGCTCGAAGATGGGAGTTATGGATTTAGCTCTTTAGTTTTTTTAACCCATGTCCTTTAAATCAGCTTCAGCAAACGGGCTGTATTTTTACATTCTTTTACTACTATTAGCTCTTAGTTCTGCTATTTTAAGCTTTTARCTACTGTTAGCTTTTAGCTACCATTTGTTACTTTCGGCCACCATTCTACTTGTAGCWAATCTTTTGCTMCTTTAAGCTTGAAGACAATTTTTTGTTTACTTGAGCTTCATTTGATAGCTTCAAGCATTTTGCTATTTTTAGCTTTAGTATGTTACATCTTAACTTTTAGCTGTTCTTTTGTTACTTTAACTTTCATTTGGCACATTTTATGTCACTAAAAATGTTTAAAAATATATTTTCTCTGGATTTATTTCTAAAAATTCAACACCCACATTAGGGGTCCTGGTCTCAGCTTTGTGCTAACAGACTTTGTCACCTTTCAGATTTTATTTCAGCTTCTGGTACCTGACTGTTTGACATTTGAACAGCCTGAAACAAGAAAAAGGAAGCCATGCCGTATGGTTGTCCATGTAGGCAGAATTTAAACCGAGATATAGAGATATGCAGAGATATGGTTCGCATGACAACCGTCTAGGAACTGGCGTGACAATCCTTGGCCAAGTTTCAAAATTTGATCTAAATCTGGGTCACAGCCCCTGTAAGGTCTGAACTGTTCGGTAACAGCAGAGCTGACAGTGTGGAGAGTGGACGGTTCTTCTTCTCTGTCTTTTCTCCAAAGGTTTAATGTTTAAACGGCTGCAGCTCGTCCCTGAAGGCCGGCGTCACAAGGAGGAGGATGAGAATCTGACCTCTGGGGTGAGATGGTTTCCAAAACAGCAGCAGGACAGTCGGATCATTTCAGATTAGCCTGTGGAAAAAACCTGAGCGGGGATTTTAAAACATGACATTTAAAAGGGTTTTGTGTGTCTTAAAAAGTAAGAAAGATCAGAGGAAAAGTGTTTTCTGTGAAAATAACAGCAGCTAAAAAGCTACAACTTTGAAAACAGTAGCTAAAATTTAAAGCCAACAAGAAGTAGCTCAAAGTTAAAACTAGCAGAATGATAGCTAAAGGTAAAATAAGCAATATGATCACTTGATACAAAATTAACAGCACAGTAGCTATAAGCTAAAACCAGCTAACTAGCTAGATTTTTCTTTGTTTCTGTCTTTGTTACTGGACTTTGTGTGTTTTTCTTAACGTAGAAAGTAAAAACAGTCATTATAAGCTAAAATGAGCAAAACAGCTGACAGCTAAAAGTAGCAGAATGATAAACAACACATTGGGTTAAAAACATAACATGAACACAGCAGCTGTAAACTAAAATCAGCAAAGCAGTCGCTAAAAGATAAAATTGTCAACATAGACGCTGTAACTTTAAAAACAGTAGCTAAAATCTGAAGCAAACAAGAAAATAACTCATTGCTAAAAATAGAAGAATGATAGCTAAAGTTAAAATAAGCAATATGATCGCTTCCAAAATTAATAACAGTAAATATAAGCTAAAATCAGCAAAACAGCTAAAATCTAAAGCCAGCAAGAAAGTAACTCAAAGCTAAAACTAACAGAACAATAGCTAAAGGTAAATTAAGCAATACGATTACTAAATCCAAAATTAACAAAACAGTAGCTATAAGTAAAACAAGCTAATACCAGCAAAASAGTAGCTAAAAACGAAATTTGCTCAGTAATTTTTTCTTATTCTTTGTTTTTGTCTTTGTCACTACAGACTTTATAAAAGTTAAAATAGTAGTTGTAAGCTAAAATCAGCAAAACCAGTAACAGATGGCTAAAACTAGAAGAATATGATCACTTGATACAAAATTAACAGCACAGTAGCTATAAGCTAAAACCAGCTAACTAGCTAGATTTTTCTTTATTTCTGTCTTTGTTACTGGACTTTGTGTGTTTTTCTTAAAGTAGAAAGTAAAAACAGTCATTATAAGCTAAAATGAGCAAAACAGCTGACAGCTAAAAGTAGCAGAATGATAGCTAAAGATTAAAATAAACTTAAATTGGGTTTAAAACATAACATGAACACAGTAGCTGTAAACTAAAATCAGCAAAGCAGTCGCTAAAAGATAAAATAGTCAACATAGAAGCTGAAAGCTGTAACTTTAAAAACAGTAGCTAAATCTGAAGCAAACAAGAAAATAACTCATTGCTAAAACCAACAGAACAATAGCTAAAGGTAAATTAAGCAATACGAATACTAAATACAAAATTAACAACACAGTAGCTATTAGCTAAAACAAGCTAATACCAGCAAAAGAGTAGCTAAAAATGAAATTTGCTCAGTAATTTTTTCTTATTCTTTGTTTTTGTCTTTGTCACTACAGACTTTATAAAACTTAAAATAGTAGTTATAAGCTAAAATCAGCAAAACAGTGACAGACAGCTAAAACTAGCAAAATGATTGCTAAAATTTTAAATGAGCAAAACAGCAGGTTAAAGCTAAAACAAAACAAGTATTTTCAAGGGTTTGAAGTGTTCTCCATTCATTTCAATCAGGAAAAAAAATTGAATAAAGTAAATATTCAAAGAAGTATAAATGTTACAAGAACCCAACTTGTTCTGAAGAAGCTGAACGTTTTGATGCATGAACTTGTAAAACAGCTAAAGAWGTTAGAGAAACATGAGGCAAACACATGGCCTCCTGATGCCTTGCTCTATAATTTTGCTGATTCAGGTGAAACTGTGTGCTTCAAACTGATCACATCCAGAGATGATCTTTGTTACAAAAACTGTTTCATTTTGTAAAACCGCAGCAACCACG